CGACTTGAGATTCGAAGGTCAGGCCCTACTCTTAGAAGGCAGGGTGGTCACTGTTTTGAAGCTAACGTACACGCATTGTAATTATATCTACTGTAAAAAATGATCCGGACCACCAGTTCTTTTTCCTATTGTTGACACGCAAATAAGTTGCCATAATAGTGTGGATAGTGGAGAGAACACATCGTGCTGCATTACACATAGAGAATTAATTGTTTAGCCCTATTATTCAGTGTGATTTACAAGACGTGGACCAGCATGACACATATACACACAATTCCTGCTCTGTATAGCTGGCTGTATATATAGCTGTTCCTTTGCCTAGCTTGCACACTGTCCCTAAAGATGCTCCGTATGCAGAAATGCTGCTGAAACATGGATGACCAAAACAAAGTTCAGTATTTTTCAGAGCCATGGGGTGAAAGCTCGTCAGATCGAATGCCTTTCTTCTAAATGAAAACCGGTACGTCTTATCCATCACATGTCAGATATTTATTTGTAATCCCATTTTGACATTAATTTAACCAAGCAATTTGTTGTCTGGTTGGTATATTTTATTATACTTTGCCAGGATGAACAGGCATTGCTGTCTTCTTGCCTGGACAAGTGGATTGTCCAAGCTGTCACAACATGACGAAGAATTTTTTCCTTTATGCAGGAATACAATGCTCAGGACCTTTAGCAAATCCCACCAACGGGCGTGTCAACACATCAACTATCTCAGTATTTAGTGTATCGACATATTCTTGCAACTCAGGGTATGAATTGGTTGGCGAAACAAATTCCATCTGCCTTTCCACGGGCCAATGGTCTGCACCGGCACCAACTTGTACCAGTAAGTTTCCAAATATTTGTGCAACATTCCAGTCTCCAATGGTATTCATAGTCAGCTTAGTGGTCGTCGCAAAAGTTTCTGTCGTCCCTGAAACGAGCATCGTTCATTTCGTACTCAGACCCCCTCCCCTCCCTCTGAAACGAACACAGCTTGCTATGCTGGACAACGAAAATCGCATGCATGTACATGCCACATGTACAGTGTCTGTCGACTTGCGATTTTGGCTCGCACCCACTCCCCCCCCCCCCCCCTCCCAACAACAAATGAATCATGTTCTTTCAGGGACAACAAAAAACTTTTGCGACGACCCCTTAATCATGGCCAGCAATCGAGGACATCTGGGAGCTGTAATTATTGTACTCAACCGATGTGTAATTTTTGGCCTTGGCCAAGCACAAGGAGAAGGCCTTCTGCCGAAAAAATTAAGAAAATGGTTGCTGTTTGATTCTTTGAGGTAGTATTTGTAGCTACTTCGAGTAGTCAAATTTAGTTGCTGTTTGGAGCAGAAACACTGAAATTGACTATTTCCTGCATGACTGTACTCATGTAGCGTATTTGCCGGAGTATAACGCGCACCTTTGTATAACGCACACCCCCAATCTTCAACCACAAGTTCACACAAAATGGCTCTATTCGATGTTTAACACGCAGTCAAATCGGGGATATTTGGTTCTGAAATTGATCTCGTCAAAGAATATTTTCCGGTAAGTCAGACTATGACTATGAAATTGATGGAATTACGAACTTTGAACACAAAAACAACATTATTTTTTCCGTGGATGTTCTCGAACATCGATGAACCTGAGCACTCGCTCCGTACGATACAGTGCTTTTTGCGTATAGTGCGCCCTTGAACTCTTGAACTCTGGCACTTTTGTACTAGATTCTCGTATTCGGTGTATAGTGCACACTGTGGATTTGAGCTTCAAAATTCACATTTCAGGGTGCTCACTATACACCAGTAAATACGGTATTCATGTACTCAAGCATGCAGCTTCCCTTGAATTTTAGCTGTGTTCTGGAATTAATCCTGCTCTGCGGCCCTTGGTGAACATTACCTGCGCTCGTGGAGCACCTGAAAAGGACTACTAGTATGTCTTGTTCCCGGGTTGAAAGTGGACAGTCGACTTTTGTTCCTTGAAAAAGGAGTAAGGAGCAACAAAGGTCTGTCTCTGATTTTTGAATGCTCCTTGTACATTTTGATGGTAGTAGAAAATTCTCAAACCAAAGTCAGTGGGGGTTCAGTTTTCTTGTTGATTTTTCAGTTGTTTCGTCTCGTACCTATGTCAGTATCATAATGGTGAAGTGGACAGGGTGATTTTCTTCCTCTGGGTTTCGTTCGGCCAACTTTGCTTCGTCCTCGTGGAAAGGTTATGCTGAAAAAAGGTCGATTCGCAAAAGTATGTTTATTTTCTATGTCCGTGATGATATGCGATTGCTGGCTATGTCAGAATTCAATACGGGTATGTTGGTAGGGGAATTTGGTAAATATTATCAATGAATTATGTGCAACAAGGTCTTCTACTTTTCTCCAATACTCACATTAGGCATAAACTGCAATTCTCTTCCGTCCATTTTTAACGGCAATGTCCAACCTGGTCGAGCACCACTTATTCGAGGCAGCACTGCTTTTGTCAGCTGTAATGAAGGATTTGCACTCTCGGGGATGAGCACTATAACTTGCCAATCAGATCTCACTTGGTCTACAGCACCAACATGTTCACGTAAGTATCCAATAATGTTTACCAATATTGGGCCAAGGCTACCGAGCCCTTTATGCTCTCGCCATATATCTCTTTCTCCTTTTTTTCACCGCATTATATCGATCCATGAAATTGTGAACGGGAACATTTGGCTTTTGAATAATGCAACAATCTCTGCGTCTTAAATTGTTTGCAATATTTGGTGTGTGTAATGGCTACTGAGGGTAGCAACCTCCCTCGCCCCCCTTCCCGCTTAAGTTAAACCATTTGACCTCGCACTCTTTCGCACATGATCTCGCTTTCCAGTATTATCCACTGGCCTGGGTACATTCGTGCTCGGCGTCCATACATTGCCATAGCTACCGAGGCAACTTAGGTCGTGACGTGATAAGGGTTGGGATGGTTCAAACTTTGGGCAGCAATGGAGTTAGGGTTGTGACATCGTACCGGTGCACACGCAATTACAAACCAAGGATTAAGAAGTTGGGAACACTCATATTTTTATATTTGTGCTGAAAATTTAGAAGGGGGCGGAGTGGGGGGGGGGGGGTATTATAAAAAGAGGCTTAGGGAAGGCCTACTTATATGATTTAAGGACGACTGGATACTTACCATTGGGAGACTATGCCGGGAGAGTGGATGAGCAAGACTAGACTAAGAGGGTAAACATCACAAGAAGAGACTAGAGTGTATCTGATCTTACCAAAAAAGGGGATAGTGTGAGAGAAGAAATGCTTGCAGTGCAACACAGCAATTACTCATGAGAGGGGAAGATTGAAGGGCACAGGGTGAACGCGAAGATATAGGTCAGCAGTGCAGAAAACATACCGGAAGGTCTCCAGGGCAAAGATCAGGGGGGGGGGGGGAGCATATGAATGTGTGTTGTGTACAGTGGTGTGCAGATGGGTATGCAGATGTGTACAGGAGTGTGTGAATACGAGAATGTGTAGTTGCTTGTACGGGGCAAAGGAGCTCATGCAAAACGTATTTAGCCTCGTGCAACTGTACAATCTAAGAACTGCCTAAGATCCTAGTAGTCTGTGTATTACAATACTGAACAATAATTATAAACAATCATTTGACTGTTTTTTTTCCTTCAGAAATAAGATGCTTGGCCCCTCTCACCCCTCCAATGAATGGCAATATATCCAAAGGAGATAATGTGTTCTTTAGTATACGAGAATACTCATGCAGCCCAGGCTATGAACTTCAAGGTGCCAAATCTACCGCTTGTCAAACTAATGGAAAATGGTCCGTGTCACCTCCAACATGCAATGGTAAGCACGACATTTAATGCAGTGTTTGTTCTCTTTCCCTTGCGTCTGTCATGAGAAGCTTAGTGGGATGGTCTAAGATTGTGCTTGAGAAACTGAGGGTACCATGTTCAAGTTCTGCTTGGAAGCGGTAGGATTTTTTCCAGGATTTCTTTTCCAGCCGTGCTGCGACCCACAGTTAAATGGAAACTCGAGCCCTGGCACGAGGGAAACATGGGTGTAGTGAATTGGATTTTCAGTCTTTCACCACTTTGTGGTCTGTCTGATCTACTCACCTCCCAACACCTTAGGACGTGCATTTGCTCCTTGATCCAAGAGTTTGGTGGCGTTCTTGCGGATGGGGAAAACTCGGCTTCCAGCCGAATCTCACGCGACCCGTGATTTTTGTTGTCATGACAGTAGGCTTCTTTCTTGGCAAAAATAATTGTTTAGAACATTTGGCAATATCATACATTTGATCATGAGTAAAAGAAAGCTGGCAGAGAAACAAGAAACCTAATATTGAAGATTAGATAATTTACTGCAGTCATACCATGACCCGTGCTTCTGTGTGAAAATCATGTTGGACTAAAAAGAGAGAATGATCGACCAGCACAGACAATGCAGGCTGCACATGCCTGTGTACATAATATCAAAAGAGTCTTATGGCCCGGTGTCACATGCACTTGAGACTTGCGGATCCCCTGCAGCGGTGTCACAACAACGTGTATCACCATGGAAACTGCGAGTAGCGGAACTTCCGTCGTGGCGGAAAGTTCAACTCCGTTACTCCACAATATTAGGAGCATATACTCTCGTGCGGAAGTTCAGCTCCTGCAACACTCCGACATAGTGATGTTTGTGTTTTCGTATTTAATTTGATCTTGAAGTGGACACTTGACTTGAGTAAGAGCCGCTAATGCTACATTTGTACATGTACGTGTATGTTGAAGTCAAAACTCGTTTTGGCAAACGAATGAAGAGAAATACAGAGCGGTATACTTGCATAGCCGAGAAGGTGAAGCTGAAACTGACGATTGCGGCGTCAGCGAAAGACCAAATCCCGGATCCGTGAGCAGCCAAGCCTGGCCATCATGTAACACCATGCAAGGGGACCCTGTTATGAAAGGATGAGGTACATGAAGGACTGGGAAGACCAATACTAGTATCTGGAGCAGTTATCGTCGACGTGCTGCTCAACAAGTTCGTGCTAGTATTCAGGAACAAAAATGTTGCTGTGGTCTCCATTGCCTGTCGACAATGTCTTGCCAATCGACCTCTACCCAACTGAAAATCCATTCTTTCAGGTTATACAGAACAAAGACTCAAAGTCAACAATACTGAACCCACGACATGTAGCTAATGCTTGATACTCAACAAAAACAATGGTCTTTCCAACACCTAGTGTGTGCATCATCAGTGCATCAGTGCTGCGTTGATGTGTCCACAAAGTACGAAACAGTTCTGTGCACTGACACAGTACTGAGTCTGTACGTCATCAGTACACGTACGCGCGTAATTGTACTTGAAAATAAAAGCATGCTTGAGTTGCAGGAGAGCTGCAGTGAATTGTTTGGATGTCAGTTAGGCGCGCTCACTTGATTCGCCGTGCACGCATGATCATGTGTGACCACGCGAACATTTTATCGCAGGAGAGGTGCGACACCACTCCCACAAAACCTTGTGGCAACAGCGGATCCGCCATTGCATGTGGGACCGGGCACTTAGAATCCTACCGCTGTAGATGTAGCTCATTGCTTCAAGAACATAATGTGAAGACAAACTATCATCTGTGGTTCAAAAGTGAAGGAAATGCTACAGCGTACAGTGCAAAACAAACATTTCCAATGATTTCACTGCTTTCCATTTCTCAACAGAGATAACTTGTAACAGTATTCCAGCTACTCCAAACAATGGCTTCCTCACAACCGGAGTTAAGACACTTGGGTCAATACTTGTGTTCGGCTGTGACGCTGGATTTGAACTCGTTGGAACTACTGGAGTCACCGTGTGTCAAGCAGACAAAACCTGGTCATTGACTAGTGTGACTTGTGCACGTACGTCTAATATAATTATACTATCACTGCCTGACCGATACCATTTGTAAAACCTTTGCATTACTATAAATACGACGTTTTATTGCAGGACCTTCTATATATGCAGCCTCCATCGCTTTGTACTTCTGAAGTAATAACACACTTTATCACTCCCTTAGTATTGACTCACATAGATTTTTGCCATACCTAAGCAGTCAAATATTCCTGCATATTTCACTCCTTAGGGCTATATTGACCGCTTATATTTGACTCCTTAGGGGTTGCGCAGTTGAACGGTGCCTAGTGCAGCAGTTTCACTGCATGAGTAGGCCGTGGTGCAACGGTTGTGCAATCATAAAACCGGGATTCATGAGGTTATCGTTCTGGAATTTGAAATACGGACTGTTTGTCGTGATAAATCTAATATTGACTTCGTACTTGGTCAGTATAGGACATAAAAACCTCGTAAAAGACCTCGGCTTCGCCTCGGTCTTTTACTCGGCTTTTATTTCCTATATTGACCTCGTACTCAGTCAATATTAGATACATATTTCCAAACATTCAGTGATGCTAAGTTACTGTTATGGAGCTGATCTACTCATCTCCCACCGCTTTAGGAGCTGCATCTGCGCCTTGATCCTTGAAGGGTGGTGGCGTTCCTACGGATGCGGAAAACTCGGCCGCTATATAGATGAACCGAGTCTGACGCGAACCGTGAATTTTTTTCTCTTTTTCTGTTATGCTGTTGGTGTTTCGCAGGTCGAACATGCCCTAGCCCACCCAACATCACAAATGCTGTTGTAATAGCTAACCCAACAAAATCCTACGCGTTTGGTGACAGTGTGGTTGTACAATGTAACACTGGACATAGTGGGAGTGGCAATATCAACTGTACATCAGCAGGAACATGGACAGACGTAATGTGCTCTGGTGAGAGAGTTTGAATTTTTTTACTTTCGTCCGGTGTGAATGGGACCCTTGTTTTCTGTTTCCAAAAGTTCCCAAACTAACAAGAGAATAAAAGTAGAAAGGAAAAGGACATTATGGAATCGAGTTAAGAGCAACTCTCCACCACTGTAACTAGATACTATATACAGTCAGAAAGTGCAACAACTAGGCACAAAACTGACAGAGAACTGAGACACTGAGTTGCTCTTAACTCGATTCCATAATGTCCTTTTCCTTTCTACTTTTATTATTGGCTCAATACCCGAGTTTCAAAGAACAAATGACAGTGTGGTTGTACAATGTAACACTGGACATAGTGGTAGTGGCAATATCAACTGTACATCAGCTGGAACATGGACAGACGTAATGTGGTCTGGTGAGAGAGTTTGAATATTTTTTACTTTCGTCCGGTGAGAATGGGACCCTTGTTTCCTGTTTCCATAACAAACAATAAAATAGTCTTGATTTGGTATTGACTAAAATATTGACTAAACTTCAAGTTCAAGAGGAAGATGAACATGATTATTGGGAGTAGATCGTCTACGGTGCTGGCCATTGAAACTACCGGTATCAGGACAGCGCCTCTATCCAACTATAAAAGTCCAAATTTGTAGACCGGCAAAGATCTCGGTTTCAATACCAGGTCACTTAGGATGCATGTGAGACATTTTGACCTAGACAAGAAGGAATAATTTCAGCACAGTGGAGGTTTTTGACATAAATTTTCAAGCAGGTCTGATTTACACATTTTTATTCTTCAACAGCTGATCCTTTACCGTTTCATGTGTTCACTGTTTCAACACAAAAATGTAGCAGCAAGCAATTGCGTGTCATTAGGAGACCCTGTCAATGGACTGGTGTTCATGAGTGGCAATACCTTTGACTCCACTGCTTTATACACATGCTCTGCTGGGTACAACCTCAACGGATCTTCTTCCGCAACATGTACTCGAAGTGGAATGTGGTCATCTCCAACACCCAGTTGTGACCGTAAGTGTACGAAACTAGATTGCCATCTAAGGGTGCGTTCTTAAATCCTCTCTGAAAAGTTGGAGACTCTCCGAAAAGTCCGAAAGCAGTTCTTATATCCTCTCCGACTTTTGAGAGGCTCTCCGAAGCTCTCCAAGCTCTCCAAGCCTTAGAGGTGGTTGAAACTTGGAGATTCCCGCGGTTTGGGATCAGCGCATGCAAACTACGGCTAAAAGCCACGTGTTGATCATGAGTGTACGCATTTCCCTTTTCGCATACGCACATGTGCATAAATACATTCATAACTCAAGATCTCGGCCGCTTTGGCGCTTCATATTGCTTGACATGTGCAAAATATCTCCGAATTCTTCGAGACCCGTTCTTGAATTATACCAGTTTCTTCAACTTTTCTTTTCTTCTTCTCCTAGAAGCTAGAGAATATAAGAACCCACCCTTACTCAAGAAGGTCTGATATACTGTACTGGCATAGGATGAAAAGTTAAACAAGGCGACAGCTGAGAGTTTCCTCTTCGACCTACATATTTCGATCTCTCCGAAAGACTGAGATTTGACCAAGTTACGATAATTTCCAAATGCCTACCCCATCGAGTGTTGGTCGCGCTCACTGCTCTTGGAACATTTCGAGCACTCTTGGCGGGGTTTGCAGCTCTTTATAAAAAATGCTTTGCTTCACGGAAACGTTTTTCATTGCGAAGAGCTGCGCTTCGGTCCTATGAGCTGTGCTGATGAGCTCTAACGGAGCGAAACAGTTGCTGTCCACAGACTTGGGTGTTCGATCAATGTTTGGGCCAGGCAATAAAGGGTTAATAGCAGCAAGATCGGACAATGACCATCTATTTCAAGATGTAAATTGGCGTAAAAGAAGTGTGTGGATGAGGATTGCAGAAAGGATTGCACGTGCGTTTCCGGATGAAGTGTTGCTACCCACCACTGAACAGTGCGAAAATAGGTGGAAATGCCTGATGAAAGTTTGTAAAGCGTACATGGACAGCAACAAAAGACCGTGAGTGCACGGAAGCCTCCCCCGCCGTTCTTGGACTGAGTTTGGAGATTGGACTGAGTTACGATCTTTTGAAGTTTATCATTTGAATGCGTCGTTTACGACGCATTCAAGTATGGGGCGGCTCTTAAAGGGTTAAGCTCTCCTCACCTCCCCTTCAGGAGTGCAAATGCTCGCTCGATGCACATCCGGGTCTATGAATTCTTGTAGTCATAGTTTGTTGGAGCTGCTGTGAGATGGCCGTCGTCTCTGAAAGGAGTCATTACCCATGACAACGAAGGATATGCCGAATCTCCGACAATAAATGACTCACCAGGGAAGAACTGGTTAACATCGGCTGTGGCAAGTTGTTTAAGCGGATGGTTGTCAAAAACACGTTTAGCGTGGACGGACCCCGGCCATCCGCAGTACTTGGTCCGGCTCATCGCAATTGTCGCTTATCTATCGCCACTAAGAACAGGAGTTTTTTTACCGCTCTGTGAAATTTCCAGTAGGCATAGTGAGGAAGCATGATACAGGAATACTCTCCGCCACAAGAAACAAAATTCAGCAATGGAATCAGGTGAAGCGAGTCGAAGAAAGGAAGCAAGGTAAGCAAAATGCACGAAATAAATCCGCGAAGGAGCGCGTTCTTGCACTCACACTCTTACAGGTCCAGAGTTCATTCAACTCTGCATCACTCGAGCTGCCGCGCCGTTACATGTAACATGAGCTGACATTTGCTGGTGTCTAGCTGCTGGCGTAGACGGAGTATCTCTTGCTTTCTCACTCAGGCTGTCGTATGGCAGCAATGGGAAAGGAACAGCTGTGGCTGTCACTTCGGTGCTTGAAGGAACCGTGGGCAGTGTGACCTGTGTGTCTCCACAGCGTGTTCAACAAAGCCTTCGAGGCATACAGGCCTCTCCAGACAGCTGTCATACGCTCCGCTGAATACGCTGACCACGACTCTTGTAACGCTGCTGCTAGGTCCACCAAGCAAGGAACAACAACCGTCGGCCGGGGGCATCGCATCAAAAACACCTTTCTTCTACAGCATGACGCTCATGCGGCTCGTACTCCTCTGCCGTGCACGCGTGCCTGTCACGCTCTCCAGGATGTCAGTTGCCCCTGCCACAGTTCCGGTCTTCGGGTCGCTGCGCGCTTGGCTTTTGGCAACACAGATAGTGAATGGCCAGATTCTCACTTCTCAAAAAAGTCGAACACATCGCGAATCAAAGTGCTAGTCGCGATCATTTTTCTTTGGTGCCTCCTTTGATCTTGCCATCACAACCTCCCAAGCAAAAGTAAGTTAGATATCGTGATCGGACTGGGTTTTACCCGTCAAAAGGTGCGTGGGAGATAAGCGACAATTGCGATGAGCCGGACCAAGTACATGCCAGTAAACATCAGGTTCCTGTCACAGCAATACGAGAGATTGGAACCGTTTCCGATTCAGGTAGGTATCTGGAGCCTCTTTGGGTGCTATGATGGGTATGTGGCATGCATCGATGGGACCCATTACACCGTGAATATGTTGTGCAGCATGAAATTCTGCTTGTACCTAATCAATGCTGGTTCCCTTGGGCAAACAGATTAACAATGTCGCCATGTCCTGTAGGGCGGAGCATACCCGCCGAACAGTCACCCATGCTGTGGACCTCGATATCCTCCACTTGTATGCCAACTCCCGCATCGTACTTTTGCTCCAGAGCCACCATAGTGTGATAAGCAGCTGCTTTCTTATCGGTACAGGTGCACGACCACAATTGCTCTCCACCGCCATGTGCACATATTGTGCAAGTTTTCCACAAACAATATCCACTGTTGCTCTTTGCAGTCGAAAATGACGGCAGGAGTCGAGGTCACTCTGCATTGGCACTACTGCTTCAAGATAGTTCATCTGTCGTGGTACGGAAGCACCCGGCTGCAATCCACGAAGTCGGCGAAGCTCAGGAATGCCAGGCTCTTGGGACAAGACACAAATCTCGTCGTTAATGCTGGCAGGCATGTCATCACCTTGCAAGAGGCTGGCGACCACAGTTGCCACAAGACCAACAATAATCCGAATTCTCCGACGACGAACTTCGTCTGCGCGATCCATACTTGCGCAGCTCGCACAAGACCAGGGAAAATAACATGGAAGCAAAAAGAATAACGAACCAGATGCAGATGACAAAAGGCAAGATATTATTACGGCATGGAATGGAGCTGCACGAGGAGCAGGTGGAGCACCACGAGGGTGGAAGTACGATGAGTACGACACAGCGGCCATAAATGACTCTTGTTGTCCTTTCGTACATCATGCGCGATCAGTACGACTTTCACCCTTTTTGGGTAACCTGTCAGCGCACTGTTTTACTTTGTTAACATGGCAACAACCAAGGTCCAACCAAGGTCCCCAAAAAAGTGATCGGTTGATTCTGAAGGATCCGACGGATCTGAGATCTGGATCTGGATCCGGATCGGACCAAACGATCATAGCCTTAAGTAAGATAAGTATAACCCTCATTCCATTTGTGGGGTCTAAACGGGCCCCAGGGGTATGATTTCTGAAATATTATTACTTTGCAGCATCATATCTCCCTGAAAATTCGCATAAGTGGGTATACCTGAAAATTCATGTATTCCTCAACAACACAATAACCGGGATAAATAAGTAGTCAGGATTAGAGGTTCATGATGGATTTCACTTTTATTACGGAAAATTCGGGCGCGGTCAAGATGGACCCCAGTAACATAGAACACAGGGAAGTATCATGTCCCCTCCCATTCCTGGGACTCTCTTAAGTTACGCTATCATGTCCACTATCACCACCAGCTGCTTGACAATCAGCTCATAAGATAACATTGCACACACCTGACCGATAGCACTGACGTTCTACAACTAACTGGCTATCAGCTTCATCACACACTCCAACAGCATTCCAACTTGCAAGGTTCTTAGTTAGATGAAAACATAGGGGGGAAGGTGAGCAAAAACTGTGTTTTCGTTTCCTTATTCGTGTAGGAGTCAACTGCGGCCCATTGACAAACCCAACAAATGGTCGTGTGGTTACGGCAAGAACTGATTTCGAATCAACAGCAACCTACACATGCAGCGTTGGATTTATTCTCTCTGGTCAATCAGCGACAAACTGTCTTCTGAATGGTTTATGGTCGTCGTCACCACCCACCTGCCAAAGTAAGTTACATGATGTGTTTGAATCTACTCTAGATAATCATAAGCTAAGGGCGCTGAATTAGATTAAAAAACGAATTCATTTAAGGTAATCATCACCATAACAAACAAGGGTCATTCGCTGTAGTCCAATTGTGGTCTAACCTCAGAGGTCTGATGCAGCCTTCGTCCGAACTGAGACACGTTCAACACTCCTTCCGACCTCTTAATTCACACTTAACCCACATGCATGCACGCATACACACAATAAAACTTAAAACAAACAAAACATCAATATGCACATTTATCCAGACACGCTCTCACATACACACACACACATGTGCGTGCCAAACGTACAAAACGTGGACACATGTACACCAAGCAGATAGAATACAAGGAAATGGGGTTTGCCATAGTAGTTTTTCTTTCAATTTTGACTGATAAATATTTACGAGACTTTGCATCAAGCGACACCGTGGATAACGCTGAGCCAAGAATAATGCAATAAACCAGAAGAGATATCTCTTCACAAGTAGGCAAATAAATGTGTAGGTGCCCGGCAACAGCAATCGGGCGAGTCACAGCAATGTACGTATTGCAACTTCAATGATAAACATACACGATTGACCAACCATGCCTCAAACCGGTGGGTCAACCACATGTTGGCCCGGCAACTTCAAACGGGAACACACCTATACAACAGACACGGTTGACCACCCATGCCTCAAACCGGCGGGTCAACCACATGGTGGCCCGGCAACTTCAAACGGGAACACACCAATACAACAGACACGTTGACCACCCATGCCTCAAAACCGGCGGGTCAACCACATGGCGGCCCGGCAACTTCAAACGGGAACACACCGATACAACATACACAGTTGACCACCCATGCCTCAAACCGGCGGGTCAACCACATGGTGGCCCGGCAACTTCAAACGGGAACACACCAATACAACAGACACAGTTGACCACCCATGCCTCAAACCGGCGGGTCAACCACATGGTGGCCCGGCAACTTTAAACGGGAACACACCGATACAACAGACACTGTTGACCACCCATGCCTCAAACCGGAGGGTCAACCACATGGTGGCCCGGCAACTTCAAACGGGAACACACCGATACAACAGACACAGTTGACCACCCATGCCTCAAACCGGCGGGTCAACCACATGGTGGCCCGGCAACTTCAAACGGGAACACACCGATACAACATACACAGTTGACCATCCATGCCTCAAACCGTCGGGTCAACCACACAACAAAATACAGGTGTCACAACTTTGAGACAGTACAGCACAACACTGAGAGGCAAATGCATTTGACCCTCCCAAAAAAAGGGTGTTCACGACCAAGCATTTATCACGGCATCGCCCATTAGCATAACTTCCTACAAGTAACCATGCCAAACCCCTAAGTGATACCCACAGAGCCACACCGGCACAAGGACTGCACAAATAGCGGACGGCACGACACTGTACACCACTACAAATGTACCTCACTTCTGTTCTCAACACATGGGCGTGGGCTGTTCCAGTCTTTGCTGCTAGCCATTGCACAGAGGGCATACCGGCTGCACGCCTGACATAGTGATCGGATGCTGCACTTCGCTAGCAGCCTGCACGTCATTTGGCTTCTTCACAGGCACTTGTACTCCGTTGAGCCATGAGTGTGGCCCCGCCAATGCGCACAGAATGGGAGCTCACCCGGTTGCAGTTGAGGATATTAGTCGAGCAAACTCGGGAGAAGTAGCTGCCGTCGACGAACACAAACAGTGGCCGTGAGCTGCCGGCAGTAGCGGTCAGGGACCGGAACTAGGCCATAGCCGAAACTGGGTACATCAGATTATGTGTGCGCAAGAACGGGGCTTAAAGGTCTGAGTCGCTCATGAGATCATTGCTGGCAGCAATCAGAGCGGCGACTTCAGCGGAGGAGTTGGCACCAGGCATTGGTTGGCTGTTGAAGCCAGTTCTCGGAAACCAGTAATCACAATAGGTTCATGCTGCATCTCAGCGGCCCATTGCCCCAAAAACGATTGTCCATGATAGAAACCGCAGAAGCCAACATCAGAGGCATCCGTGAATAGCTCAAGGTCAGGAGAATTTGAACACTCGACATCGTAGAAGAAGGATTGGCCATTCCAGTTTGCGGCAAAGGAGCGCGACCATTTGATGTCTAAGTGAGCTTCTGTGTCGATGTTGACTACTGACTGAAGAGACAGAGTTGTCCAGCTAAGATACAGGAGTTGACGGACGAAGGTCCTGCCAGGAGGAACCACCTTTGCGGCAAGGACAAGGTTCCGATCAGCGACAGCAGTTTTCGCGTTGTGTTGCTAGTGCGCGTGGACTACTCACTCAAAGCCGCTAGAAAGGCAATAACTTCTGGTCAGGTAGCCGCATCACCTGCTCCAGGGGTTGACTTCTATGCCAAGTACCGTCACCACGGTTGCTTGGCCGACCACCTTGCTGAGGTTGTCGAAGACCTGCGGAACCCTTTCTTTCAGTTGAACTCATTCCATTGACATCAAACACACGAACATAAGCACCTTGTTTAGTGCAGCGTACTGGTTCTTGTGACGGCCTGCACAGCTATGAGGAATAGTTTTACCCAGAATGACTGGGTTGATGATTTCTCCCTGAGATAGGGTAATGCCCCGTGCACAGCAGATGTGGTGCATAACGAACGCACAGTGGGCATAACATCTTCATATCCACATCAAAGGCCACAAGCATTGGACAACCACACCTGATACGTAGACGATCAACGATCGTCCCTGCACTCAACGTCGCTCCAGCAGTAGTAGCATGTTGCAAACCACTATCGTACGTTGTCCATGTCAATGCCTCTGCTCCTTGTCTACATCTTTGGCTAGACAGGTAATCACAGCCATTTCTGAGTTGGCGTCAACGCCACTCGCCATGTCGTGGCCTAAATACCTGGTCCTATGCTTCGAGTAGTTCTTGCTTGGCCTCATGGATTCCAGGAAATTCACTACTGCGACCATGATCTACTCTATCTGCCCACACAACAAATAAATATTTCAACCAAGCGGGATCGATCGCTGTTTGAAGTTGTGAATTTTCAAGCGTTTCCAGCTCCCACGGGTCAGCGCTTGTTTACGCAGACTAGCACAACTGATCCTCTTGTACAGCTTGGCGGAGAGATAAAGGAGAAATCGGAGAAAACACAACCTTGAGTCACTTTGACTAACTGGATGACAGAAATTGTTGACAAGGAAGTTGCTTTGCTGACACGAGGCAGGGCAAATTGGCCCCGCCAGATTTATTTTTTCATCCACCATTTTCGGAAAAAAATATTTTTTATTCATGTGCCGCGTGACGAACCTGTGACAAAACACGTGCATGCGTGGGCTAACTAATACTTGGCTTTGTTGGTCAAACTCGTCATTCTTATTTGTTGCAGATAGAGAATACCCTAAACATGTACTTTTCTGTAGAGCGGCGTAGTTAGCTTCCCGAAATACTAGTGAAAGGCTTGCAGTGCTCGCTGTGTTCTTCAGATTTAATACATGGGTAAATCATTTGAAATTAGGTTATTTTAAAAGTGAAAATTCGGAGACCAGTATGTAGAGTCTCACCAACCAGTTTCGAGATTACTTAGTACATGTAACATTGCTCTCCGTAGTGTTTCTTCTCATGAAAGAGATCTTGAATCATAAACTGTCGTTCTGCACTCGCATGAGTGACAAGGCCTAACTCTGCTGTCTGCAGTTCATGAGGTATGTTCACCATAGAACGGAGGATAACCGGGAAATTGTGTCCCCGCCCATATCGTGTCCAGAAGAAAGACTATTTGATATTGGTTCGAATGGAATATCTCTCCCTTCCAAGCGATAAGTCAAACTTGTCAAATCGCCAATTGTATGCTCACGTTGCAATACCGACCAACACAGTGAGGACGTACTATCGGCTTAGCTCCGCCATGGAGAAGGTGCATCACTGCAGAATTTTGTCATTTTCAATTGTCTTACTGTATTCCGGATGTGAAATACTTGCTGTGTTCAATGCTGCTTGTGTCATGAACTGGTTTAGGCCTTCTCCTGCATTTCCCTAGGCTGACTGTGCCTAGGAAATAGTTCTTCTTGGATTGAATGCTTGGTATTTGCCGTCTCTCCAGAGACATTTTAAGCAAACTTTCAAGACTACGATATCATTTCATTCGTTAATCACCATCAACCGTGATCTCACCTCGCTTCAAACGATGTTACGGGAGATAAGAGAGTCGCCAGGAAGCATCACATCCATCTTCAGAAAGACGAAAGAGCAAACGGCATGATCCTTGGTTTGGGGTAAATGCTAAACGTCTGATTTGTCCCAGCTAAGATTTCCACATTTCTTCGTCACTATTTTCGCTTGTCTGCTGATGTCTCCACGCTCCAGCTTTCTCCTGTCGGTGTCACGGCCCCGTACACCATGTAGAGGACTGCTAACAAACAGTTCACAGCACTAGCAGCATTAAACACAGCCCTTCTTTCACTTCACTAGTACAATAAACCAATTTAAAATTGCCACATTCTGTCATCAGTGCGCTGGTCGCGATGACAAACGTGAGCATTAAATATTCGATTTGGCAAGTTTGGCGTATGGTAGAGAAGTGGGAGAGAAACCATTTGCACCGATATCAAAATTGATTGTCTTCCTTTTGGACCCTTCTCCAAAAATCGATCCACTTGCCCTTTAATAGAGTGCTCTTGAAGAACTGCATGTGGCTTAGTAGCTTACTACAGCTCAATGGACTCTCTAATGTGATTAGTACTGCAATGCTTCATTTTTTTCTGTGTTCCTTGTAGGAGTTGTGTGCCCTCCCATTAATTCGCCCACGAACGGAGCTATATCAGCTGGTGATACTGAATTATTCACCGTGCGGAGATTCACTTGCAACACTGGGTTTAATCTTGTCGGCAATTCAGCATCTGTGTGTTTATCAAATGGAACGTGGTCTGATGCAACACCTCAATGTATTGGTAAGCTAATTATATAAAGGGGCACAATTTTGTTTATGAAAAGGTTGTGGCTTGCTCACTGGTATCCAGTTCATTCCCCTGCGTTCAGGTTCTCTCTCGTTAGTAGATAATCTCTGGGCCATCAAAAAAGTTAATTTATCAGGAGACTTATCATTCTTGTAACTGGACAACGTTAACGCATGAAGAGATATATATTATAGCAAGACTGTCAACTTTAATAGGGTGCGTTTGTATATCTTCTGTACATTTACTGGTCTTTGCTGAAGTGCTTTTGCAAAGGTAGATTAGTGAGGTTCACTCTCGGTTGACGTTAGACCTTAGTAACCTATCCCAGAAAAAATATCCCAAAATTTCACTATTCCCGGAACACATTTTAAAAGAAGTTTTAAAGCCACTTTTCTGCCAACATGCCTTAACTTGCAGACAGCACAATGGCGTGCCCTGAATTACTTGCCCCCGCCAACGGGCTGATAGACAATGGTAGTCTGGACCTAGGAACACGGAGAAAGTACTCTTGTTCTGCTGGCTACACAACAATGGATCCGACAACAACGTTTTGCTTGAAAGGTGGACTTTGGTCTGAACCAGCTCCAGCCTGTGCTCCCCCCTGTACATGTAAGTCAAGATTATGTTTGTTTTATACAAAAGAGAAAGACCAAAGAACTGCAAGTTACGCTATAGTGTCCACTTACACCACCAGTTACTAAACAATCAGCTCATGCGATAACATTGCACGACACTGACCGACCGTACTGACGTTCTACAACTAACTGGCTAACAGCTCTAGCACATCTTGGATGCGCACTCCAACAGCCTTCCAACTTGGATAGTTCTAAGTTATAGAAATAACATAAGGAGGGGTGGGTCAGTGTCGTGCAATGTTATTGCATGGGCTGATTGTTCAGTAACTGGTGGTGTTAGTGGACAATTTAGCGTAACTTGTAGTTCTCTTTTGTATAAATTGAAACCTTGGCTCTCCATCCGAGTCTATGTTTGTTTTGCTTTGCTTTTGATCTTTTTTAGTACATTACCTCTCCAGCACAATGTAAAATTTCTAAGAACGCCTAACAGAAAAAAATCTGACGGTCAACAGAAAGTGTGTTGTGTTTTTCATTGAAGTCCATATCCTGCCAGAATCATTATTATTATTAATATCGCAAATAACGCTGAGTAATTACACAATGTATAAAAACCAGTATTTGCCAAATGGAAGGAAGAATGAGGAACGAGCAGGAATGAGGTGCTTATACTCATGCAACTGCAGAATAGGCGAAATAAAAAATATTAAAACAGTCCTAAAAATAAAAGAACGGTCAACTACTTCAACAAATAAAACTCAAAATACTGCTGAGTACTGTACTGTTGTAATGATACTGTACATGTATACAGTTATGACATTGTACAGATAGTTGACGTAGACCTACTGAGTGTCAAAAGCCGCGGACATACATTGTACATGATTGTGCATTTATTGCAACTCAACACAACCACGCGCTCTTCAGCCGAACCATACAGACACCAGCAAGGACACTTCCGTTGAGAGATTGTACATGACTATACTACGAGCAAATATGCCCTACTATTTTACTAATGAACTACAGCCGAGAGCAAAGAAGTCGAAAGCTTCACAACAAGTGGAACGCATTGGGTGCGTACAGACAGTTTGCGAAAAATGTCATACTTGGTCCGGCTCATCGCAATTTTCGCTTATCTCCCACGCACTTTTTGACAGGTAAAACACAGTCCAATCACGATATCTAACTTACTTTTGCTTGGGAGGTTGTGATGGCAAGATCAAATGAGGCACCAAAGAAAAAAATGATCGCGACTAGCGCTTTGAATCGCGATGTGTTCGACTTTTTTGGGAAGTGGAAATCTGGCCATACACTGTCTGTGTTGCCAAAAGCCAAACGCAGCGACCCGAAGACCGGAACTGTAGCAGGGGCAACTGACATCCTGGAGAGCGCGACAGGCACGCGTGCACAGCACAGGAGTATGAGCGTCATGCTGAAGAAGAAAAGTGTTTTTGATGCGATGAGTATGCAAGGGACGGTTTGGTTGTTCCTTTTGTTCCTTCGTGGACCTGGCAGCTGCATTACAAGAGTCGTCGTCAGCGTATCTAGTGGAGCGTATGACAGCTGTCTGGAGAGGCCTGTACGCCTCATTCAAAGGCTCTGTTGAAACACACTGTGGTGACACACAGGTCACACTGCCCACGGTTCCTTCAAGCACCGGAGTGACAGACAGACACAACTGTTCCTTTCCCATTGCTGCCATACGACAGGCTGACAAAGCCAGAGGTACTCTACCAGTCGCTAGCAGCTAGACACCAGCAATTTAATGTCAGCTCATGTAACGGCGGCAGCTCGAGTGATGGAGAGTTGAATGAACTCTGGACCTGCAAGGGCGTGAATGCAAGAACGCGCTCCTTCGCTGATTTATTTCGTGCATTTTGCTTACCTTGATTCCCTTCTATGACTCGCTTCATCTGATTCCATGGCTGAATTTTTTCTTCTGGCGGAGAGTATTCAAGTATCATGCTTCCTCACTATGCCTATTGAAAAATTCACAGAGCGGCCACAAAACTCCTGTTCTTGGCGATAGATAAGCGACAATTGCGATGAGCCGGACCAAGTAATAAAGAACATTACTTGCTTGATATAACAAGGCAGACTCAAACACTCCAACATTCTGCAGCTGTTGCGTTGCCGGTGTTGTGGTGGCAGTTCTGATATTGCGGCTGTACATGCCAAGGAGCTTGGCTAGCCGTCGCCAACTAGTCAGCGCAACCTCGGCCATGCGTTCGCTTCAGCTGTATGCCCGCGTTGCCGGAGCTCCGGGTGACCAACAACCCGAACAGCTGCAAGTCGCGACTCCACATTTGACCGTTAATGAGCTCTAATCCCTCGCTCCATTCCCTTCTTCGCTCCATTTGTTGAAAAAGGTTCACTCTCCTAAGGAAGAGTGAGGAGAACCGTTACTTCTCGAGCAGTATGAATCATGAATCATAGCTTGTAATAAAAAGTAGTTGGTTCAGTATATGGAACAACAACATTTAGTGCCTCCTTGATATTTGCTAGCCACTCACTAAGAATTTTGCCGACTTTATAGCTGAAGACAATAACAATAAATTGGTGCTCTCTACAAGGTACAACAAATCAGGTGTGGCGGATAGGCAACTGGCGATTTGCTCACTGTGGTTTAAACGAAGCCATGAGCAGAGAATTTGCAGGAAACCACTACTCCGCTGTTAACCAGCACCATGTTCGTAGGAATGTAGTAAATCAATGTGATGGATGTTGGTGAAGTCCTCTCATTAGTGACATTAGATTCACGATTTCATGCATGCACGCAGTTGCACTCGCAAACCAATGACCTTCCTCCCTATACTTGATGTATATTTATGTATGTGGAGCTCAGCGGCTCGGCTTCCTCCATAACGCATTGGCTGCGCTAGACTTGAAACATAGGGCAATCGGGTACCGTGACTTTGTCTGCCCTGTGTTAGAGTATGGCATGCTGGTGTGATGAGCGCAGCCACCACCACCTTGACCCGCCTCACTGCCATCTGGCGCCGTACCCTGCAAAAAAATTGGAGACGGATCATACCTCTCGAGCATCGACATTCGACGTACCGTAGCTGGGCTCTGCTTTCTGTACAAGCTGAACTTTGTGGAGGGTCCGGAATGGTGGAAGCCATTCTGCCACCATCATCAGCCGCACCGCAATGGCGCATGTCTACTCTTGAGACAACCAGATCTGCAACACATCATCCATCGCAACTCACCAGTATCCTTCCTCCTCAGTCAAGAAACAACACACTCCACTCATTTCCCCACTCCCTCATCGCAATGTGGAATCAGCTCCCACCTACCCTTCTGCAGTCTCCCCCTTCTCGCAGAGGTATGCACTCCTTCAAGAAAAATGTCCACGACCACTTGCGACTCAGCAAGTGGGAGTGGGCCACAGAAAGTTATGATCTCTCCATCGCAGCCAACACACCAGCCTAATTATACTGACCGCATTCCAGCTCCCTTTAACCTCTCTTGATCCCCTTCGCTAGGCCTTAATATGCAATTATCAGTTCTCTCCATCTTCCTACGGTGCACTGCCTTTATTATTGTTATGTCCTGTCTCAATCTCAAATTCTCCCAATTGATTAGACGGCAAGGCAACAAGGAGCAATTGGCGGGGAATACGGTCATCCATGCGAGCCAGATGGCCCAGCCATTGGAGACGATGGCGCCGGACTGTGTCAGATACCTGCTCCATGTCTCCCCACCACTGCCGTACCTGAAGGGTTGTCACATGCTCGTCCATCTGGCGCGCCCGACTGATGCCCAGGACCATGCGTATAGATTGCAGGTGAAACGACTCCAGACGCTGGAGATCCCGTTGCCTCCGTGTCCAGTTCTCAGCACCATAGACGAGTACCGCCAACACAGTAACTCCGTACACAACACGCTTGATACCAATCGGAAACTCGGGGTTCGCAAACACAGCCTTCTTCGAGGCGCCAAATGCACCCGAAGCTGCGGCGATCCTGCTAGAGACATCAAAGCTACTCCTAGCATCAGGAGTGATCTGGTAGCTGTCCACGCATTCGACGGTTTCACCCCAAGGCAACCTATCCGACGCCACCACACCAACGCCCATAGGCATGAACTTAGTTTTGCCCAGATTGACTGACAGGCCAAAAGATGCTGCAGCCTCCCAAAACGAGGACAAGGCCCTTTCAGCACCGCCGTAGGTTTTGGCGAACAGCGACGAATCGTCTGCAAACTGACACTCCGTTATAGTTAGTCTGCGACTCTCTCTGAGGCGCGTACTGAACAATCAGTCTCTGCGGAACTGCGACACCTTGATACCGATATCCCCGTCATTGGCGATGGTAGCATGCCACTTTTCCACAACCGCACCCATTAATAAGTTGAACAGGGTCGGGGCCATAGTGCATCCCTGACGTAGGCCATTTCCCACCGGGAAAAGGTCCAGCAGATCTGCGCTAAGACGGATGGATGCAGACATGCCTTCATGGAACGATCGAATGATGGAGATCAGTTTATCCGGCACGCCGAGCCTGGAGAGAGCCCGCCACATGGCTGCTCTAGACACGCACGCATACAAACATTGCTGCACGCACCCTTTCCCGTTCAGCTTCTCGGATACCCTACGACTTCTTGCTCTCGCACTCTCCCTTTCCCATTTTACATAATAATAATAATAATAATAGTACAGCACGCATATAGCTCATATGAAAAATCAAATGAGGGTCATGCATCTGTCGACAACGTCGAGCCAGTGCGTTCTGTCTGAGGCAAGTTGCTCCGCTTCCAAAAGAGACATATTGATAAGTAAAAGGTCATTCCTAATGTTGTCTACCCATCTGGTCACTGGGCGACCTCTGGGCTTCTTTATATCTGTTATATTCATTGCCATGTGAAGGGCTTTGTACGACACAGCGTCCTTCCCTTCACGAATGACATGTCCAAACCATAATAAGCGCCGGCGTCTACAGACTGCACTTATTGGGCATTGAGCAGTTTTAGCATAAAGAGCATTATTCGAAATTTTATTGGGAAAGATGATTCCAAGTATGTATCTGAGTTTACGGC